ATCAATAATTTTGACCCATACAATGTATTTTTGGCTATTGCTACAAATATACCCCAGCGACTTAAGACTAGTTTTGTGCTCCAGGGTCACATATTATGTATTTCTGCTAGAGACATGAAAGGAACAGTTCACCCGAAAAAGAAAATGCTGTCATCATTTACTCCCCCAGCTTCAAAAAGTGAATAAAGACATTGTAGAAGTATTTTATTCATGTGAAATTGGGCTATTTAACCTCACTGGTTCTTACATGTCCAGCAAGCATGTCTGAGCCTCCGTTTGCCATATTTGATGTGCGTTGATCAATGTTTATATATGAATGAAAGCCTAACTTAAAACCGATTTAATTTAGGCTTTCATTCATATAAACATGTAAATCAATCGTTAGACAGAAGATTGAACTGCTTGGTTCATATGGATTACTTGAACAATTTCTTGATGAATATTTTAAAGCTTAAATGCTTAAAATTGGGAAAAGACACAAATATCTCAAGTTTAAATGAAAATATCTTTGTTAGTCTTACACTCTAAAAAAAATGCTGGGTTAAATATAACCCAGCGCTGGGTTAAAAAGGGACAAACCCAGCTATTGGGTAGTTTTGACCCAGTGGTTGGGTTGTTTTTAACCTGGGTCAAAACAACCCAATAGCTGGGTTTGTCCCTTTTTAACCCAGCGCTGGGTTATATTTAACCCAGCATTTTTTAGAGTGTAAGGTTATTAACAAAATGAGGGCGAGGAAATGATGACTGAATTTTCATTTTTTTGAGTGAACTAACCCTTAAATCGCACATCACGAGTGTTGAGGAAAACGTGTGCTATGGCTTTTTGGATCTTTTGAATTTTCACTTTGTTGACAACAAAATTGGCAAAACAGACTTGCATTCAAGAACTTGAGGTACATCTGAGCCAAGTCTTAAAGGTGGCCTCTTTTTACACGGTGGGCCAGAAAGCAGCCATCCAGAACATCCTAGAAACCAATCAGCAAAGTCCTGGCAAGCATCAATAACAACATAATTTGGCATTATGGCAGTGAGTTTTGAACAAGAAATTACCATTCAAATTCTCTAACAATTTAGCAATCTATCATCTATCAATATATATATATATTTTTTTTTTTAAGTATTAAAAATGTTACATTTAGGGATCCACCTATTTAAAAATTCCAACAAGCCAATAATTACATTTACATTTAGTCATTTAGCAGATGCTTTTATACAAATGAGGACAATGGAAGCAATCAAAATCAACAAAAGAGCAACGATATGCAAGTGCTATAACAAGTCTCAGGTAGCTTAACGTAATACACATAGCAAGGTTTTTTTAAATCATATAATAAATAAAAAGAAAACAGATAGAATAGAAAAATAATTGAGCAAGCTAGTGTTGGAAGCCCTTTTTTTGCTTTTTATTAATTGTATAATAAATAAAAAGAAAACAAATAGATATAATACAAAAAGATTAGAGAAGCCAGTGTTAGTTTTTTTTTTTTAAGAAAACAATCAGTAAATGAATAAAGTGCAAGTCTAAAAGGACACGTTTTTTTTTTTAAAGAATAGAACTAGAATAGAGAGTGCTAGAGTTAGAGGGTCAAATAAAGATGGAAGTGATGTGTTTTTAGCCGATTCTTGAAGACGGCTAAGAACTCAGCTGCTTGGATTAGGTTGGGCAGGTCATTCCACCAGGAGGGAACATTTAATGTAAAGGTAATTAATTAATTACTTTCATATTATGGCCGATAACTAATATTTGTGCGATATTAAAATTATAGAATGTCTCGTTAAAAATTAAAATAGCCTAAAATCTGTTAGTTTAGGCATCACAACCTTTTAAAATAAAATTAACTTGTTAATATATTTAATATAAAATGTTGCCCAACTTAGATGAATAACTTTCGCAGTGTTATTTCCAGTTATTTTCAAGATTGTAATTGGGCATTATGGACGCGTAAACATGCGACATAATTCAGTAACAGCAATATAGAATATTACTGATTGAGAAGTTTATCACGTTTAAATAAAGGTAGTACGTAGTATACAGTACATACTGTGTGCAGTATGCAGCACTGCGTTCCATTTGAACAGACATTGAACAAAAGACAAAACCATAAATTTGCTGCATTCACCTCGGTGGCAGAGGTCCACACAGTGCAGCGCAGCAGTTGGTGATGAAGTTTCCGTAGCTGTAGGGGTTGTAGTTGCCTTTGCCTCGTTTGGATGACCATGAACCTTTGATCTGAAACAGTGATGTGACCGTTGAGAACTACAGTAGCTGAGAGGGACAAGCTGCCAACATCAGAGCAGACAGCGACAGGCTGCCTTAATAAACCCTGTGATGAACCAGGGTGAGGGTGGAAAAGAGTTTTAGCTTTGCTTCCTGCTAGGCGTTACGGTGACAAACACCTGCAAACATATTGATCTTCAAACCCAGTCTTTTGAAGTGCTCATTAATTGTCTTCCTGTTACGGAACTTTCCGAGCATCTCTTTTGATCTTGGCTCACAGTCTTAGACCCCGAGGGACAAATTTAAATACACTTTGAATGCAGGGTCCAAAACTAACCTGCGGGCGGGTGATTTGAGGAAATTTACTGCTCATAAAGATTTCTTAATGGCCGTGAAATATATAGTTTTGTTCTTTTGAAAATGGAATTACATATCTGTTTATTTCTTGCATATTTATAAAAAGCAAACAATATTCTATATACTGAACTGATATTCAGTTTCCATCCTTCTAAAAACATCTTTCTGAAAAAAACGTTTCACATACACTCTAAACCCGGATTTTGCTTTAAATAAATGTTTTTAGTCGTCATTAATTATTCTTTCTTGTTTTTGTAAACGACATTACTAAATATAATTAGTTGTTTGAAGTATTCAGACGAAATATTGAATGCAGTGATTATGTTAAAGGGGTCATATGACGTTGCTTATTTTGTGTATTTGGTGTAATGAAATGTGTTTATGCAGTTTAAGGTTAAAAAAACACATTATTTTCCATATAATGTACATTATTGTTTCTCCTCTATGCCCCGCCTTTCTGAAACGCGGCGATTTTTACAAAGCTCATCAGTCTGAAAAGCGAGGTGTGCTGTGATTGGCCAGCTATCCAGTGCGTTGTGATTGGCCGAATGCCTCAAGCGTGTGACGAAAATGTCCCGCCCCTTAACATACTGTGATGCCGTCTCCCAGCAGGACGAGACACAACCAATAAAACCCATTATAAACGAGGCATTTGTTGCATCCAGTGGGGACATAATTACTGATTATAATGGCTTATACTGTTTTTTTACGCGTTCTGTTGCGTATCACGCTGCGTAAACATAAAACCGTGTCTGCATTTGTGATCGAAGAAACAACAAACGCTACTCTACACTGCTCAAACTCGCTGTTTGAATCGTCAGTGGCAAATTATTCAAACATAAAAAACGTACTTACAGTCTGTGAGTCAGAAGCGCCAGACTGTCCTTGCAAAGTTGGAACTGCCCAACTTTATATAAACAGCATTTGTGCCACAGACGCATTGTAGGCTACTGGTTCAGGAAACAGTCCTCATCCATCCTCCATAAAATGCGCAGCACACATCTGAATATTTGGGTTGAACTGTTCTGGAACAGTGTTGTAAATACAACTTAACCACTGATTTCTAGTCGTGTCCTCTTTTGGAAGACCAAACAAAGTAGTTTTGCTTTCACAACGAAACACACAGCGACTCCACAACATGGCGGCAGCAACAATACTACAGCGAGAATAAAAGTTGTGCCTTCTTTCTTTGCGTAAACATTTGGGCGGCGTTATGCAAATCTTCCCACATAGTGATGTAGATATGTGGGGGCGTGTTAGAACCAGCCGTTTTAGGTAGGTGTGGCTGACTCTTAACTTTTATAAAGAATATCTCTTTGGATTTGAGACTTTAGTCTTTGCAACTTTACAGACCTTCTTTATGCACCAAAAGCTTGTAACACTCCAAAGAGAAAGGAAAAATTGAAATCGCATCATATGACCCCTTTAAGTAGAGATAGCTTAATGTGTTAAGTTTCTGTAAGGGGGAGGAGCCCCGTTCGAACACGTTTGAGCAGTGAGCGCGATGTTTGAAGATTCCGGCTCATGCATCATGAGCGATGGATTTGGAAAGCAGCATGTAATGGTGAGTGTGTTAACCTCTATTTCTTTATCTTTCTAGGAAAATTGATTATCCGAAAGACCGGTCCGACTGTAGTTAAAGCTAAAGTAGTCTTAATGTACCGATCAACGGTTTTTCCCCTGGCGTTTCACAGTTTCATTACCCTTAGCTTCAGTCATTAACATCAGCATGTGTGCATCAATTCGCTTTTTGTTAAAGCTAAGTTAGCTTGTCTCTTTGATATATTATCGTGTCTATTATTATTTATAATAACTGCAACTGAGTTGTTGAGCTTAAAGGGTTATGCGTATGCTGAAAGTTTCAGTTAGTCTTGAAATGTAACACTTTTTTCTCTGTTTTAGGTGTTCGTGGAGTTCTAATTAAAGTTACAGGATTGTGGGCAAGAATCTCAAGCATGAAATCATTGACCGACATAGTCGTAGTCTAACTGAGATATTTCAGTCTAAGAGAGAGAATGTTGGGCAGGTGTTGACAGCTTTCACAACAAATCAATGTTGGTCCATATCTGTTATAGACTTGCATTGCATAGTTTTTAGTAGCTTAAGTAATGAAAATGTATCACAAAAAGTTTACAATATTAGTTGTAATGCAATCAAAATTGTGCTTGATTGGTTCTGCTTTCTTGTGATCATTTCTTTAATTTTATTCTTCAGTGATTCATTTTACTCCCCAGAGCCAACTGATACTAGGTCTCTTGTCGTCCTTGGCGACAAACCTACAGATTTCTACAAAGTATGCTTTGTAAGTATTACCTCTGTTTTCTCTCAGAATATCTAAAAGGACATAAAAACATAATAATTTCACCATTAATTGATAGTTCATGTGTTTTATAAAACCGCTGAGAATAAAGCCTAAACCATTAACTTATTACAGCAGCTCTTTGAACCTCTTTGGGTGATCTGTTTGCTTAAGGGTTAGTTCATCCAACATTTGCTCACCCTCATGTTGTTACAAACCCTTTGGACTCAAGTTTTTTAAGAGTTAATTTTTGAAATACAATTTTAAGTATAGTTCACCTAAAAATGAAATTTTAAAGTAAAATTGAAACTTTGAAGATTTTTAGCTGAGACTGTGGTCCTTGGTGATTGATATAAAACAGTCAATGGAAACTGTCATTTTTGATAGTTAAAAAAAGCATGCACAGGTAAAACAAAATGAAGACCTGTGGATCCTAACCATACATGGGAGGTCTTACGAAGTAAAACAATTGGTCTGAGAAACATCCAAAACCTCTGCAAACGGTCCTGAGCGCATTCACAACAGTCTGGAGCGTGAGTTTCCTGTCGCATATAATAATAGGGCCTTTCGCACTGCGGGAACATTTTCATAGTACCAGAACTAATTGTGGAACTACCCACTTTTTGGCGTTTTCACACCGCCGGAACTGGGTGCGGTTTTAGTACCGGACTGCCTTTTTCTAGAAACCAAATTAGCTCCTACTCCGGAGCAGGGTCTAACCAGCACAACTGGTACTAATCGTGACGAAAGTAGACATTGATTGGCCAAACGCGTACGAAAAAGCTCTCACCCGCCATGATTTAAAACGCAGTGAGAACATACTGTAAACATTGTGTCAACTTATTTCGCAAGTATGGAGAACAGCGATAGATGGACGGACGCTGAAGTGCAGGCACTTGTAGCAAAGGTAGCACTGCCAGTTGTCGTTGGAGATTCTTAGTCCTCCTTTCCGTTCTTTCAATTGCTTTACGTATACGTTGACTTTCCATGTCCATTATTGTGAAACCCGCGAGACACAACAAAAACACATCTCCGATCACAGCGTCCTCCATGCTCCTGTTGTTAATGTTGTTCTTCTTTTTTCCTGTTGTTGAACGAATGACGTCGCTGTCGACCGGCTTACGTCACTTCTTAGTACACACTGTCGGTGCGAATGCAACCCTTTAAATGGTACTGGGAAATAGTTCGCGCAAAATCGTCCCAGTACTTTAGTACTGTACATTTAGTTCTGGAACTAAAGCGGTGCGAAAGGCCCTAATGTATGCACAGGAGCAAACTCACACATGAGCAATCTTCCTGTAGTTGATTGCACAAGCAAATGATTTTTAATTTTTATATAGGTTGTGGGATCTATTGGCGTTTTTCCACTGCATGGTACGGCACGGTACAGTTCACTTTTGGGGGGTTTTCCACTGGGTACAGTACCTGGTACCTGGTACTTTTTTTAGTACCACCCCGTTGAGGTTCCAAGTGAACCGTACCATTACCAAAACGTGACGTGTAAACTCTGCTGATCATGGATTGGCCGGAGAGAATCGTCACTACCTGCGTCACTGAACTTGCGACACATACACAAAAGAACTGCTAGATTTAAATCAGCACAGTCAGCGAAGGATCGAACGCATCTGTTTTGAAAGAGTGCACCTTTTTTTAACAACCAAAAAGTGGCTGTTTCGTTGTCTGTTGAGGAAGTACAGACGTTCCTCTTGTTGATAGCAGAGGAGCGGATCCAGCGAGAGCTTGATGGGGCAACGTGGAATGAAAACGTTTTTCAGGAGTCGCGGCGCAACTATAACGACGTGTGAATAATCCCGCCCACTCTAAAGCGGTACTGAACTGCAGTGGAAACGCAAACCGAGCCGTGCTGTGCCATGCCGAGCCGAGTCGTACCATGCAGTGGAAAAGCGCCATTAGATAAGTACACACAAGTACCATTTTGATGATGACCAATACAACACACAATGCTTGCACTCCAGACATTTGTAAACACACTCAGGACTGTTTGCCGGGGCTGTGGATTTAAGGTAATAATGCTGTAAATAATGTTCAGTTTCTTGCACAGACTGATTGTTTTGCTTCTTAAGACTTCAATGTGCCTGAGGATGTGTAAATTAACAGCAGATTTTCATTTTTGCATGAACTGTTTTTAATTGAACATCATAAGTTTCTGTCCCTACCAAAATTTGTCCATGTTACCAAAATTTAAATAATCATTGAGAAGGCAGAACTCCAGCAGTCATAACAAATTGCTTAACATTACCGATGGCATTACTGTAATGAGAAATTTCATGATTGTGCTCTTATGTTGTTAGGACTCTGATGACGATTACTGATCGGCAATGAATCGCCTGCAATTTTGTGTAGCTTGTCAGTGATCTACGGCTCTGTGCAGTAAATGCCGCTCCATCTGAAAGCACGTGCTGGAGATTTACTACTAATCACCAAAAGTGGCTTTACTGACGAGATGCGCATGAAAATCGCATTCGATTTTTTGCCCAGCCCTACTGATCACATTGGAATCCTCCTCAGTGAGCATGAAGGCGACGTGCTCTCATCTTCTCTCCATCTCAATCCAGCCTCATTGAAGATCATCATTGAAGGAGACGTTGTGATGGACAATATTGACGACTTGCCAAAGCTATGTGCATTCTGTATGGACTTGCATATGCACTGGGCCAAACACAGGTTGCAAACTCTGAACAAACAGCTTACAATGTAAGGAAATGCGAGAAGCTTCCATGAGAAGCCACTTGTGTTTTGCTGTATAAGACATTCAAGTGTTTTCTGTCACTGCATATTAGTGCTGTCAGTGCTCAGTTAATGTGTGTTCACACAATTCTTCAGCCAAGTTTAAAGTTACAGAGGCTTGCCTCCGTTTTAATGCATGCCCAGTTTTTAATGCATATCCAGGCATTCACAAGGGATATAGCATATATTGTTGAATACTGTGTGTTTATGTGTCTTCTAGAAAATAGTTACAATTGTTAGTAAGTTAGTTTCAAAGCTTATTTTTTACTTGTCTTGTGGCTGACAAGTTTAATGCATTGTCATGTTACCATTACTTTGGTGAACAATAAAAAATAATTTGTGCATTGACATCCGTTTTTCTTTTTATTCAATTTACTTGCAACAATGTTTAATACAATAAATCTCAAAATCTATTACTAATTACATTGACATTACATAAATATAACATTTATCATTACTTAAAAACATTTATTAATGTTATTTGCTAATATATATATTTTTGTAGTTGTATCTTGCAATAGTTATTTTATGCAACCTACAATATACTCCAAATAATAATTGATGTGAACTAATGATTTTGAGTAGAAACTACTAATGTAAACTTGATTTGTCTCCTGCATAAACTTAAGGTTCTATGGTAATTCAACTAAAGCGGTTTAGTTTCAATTTGTGTAAAAACTAAAATGGTTTAGAGTGCCCCGTTGGGGTTTCTTTCTAGTTTCTTTTCGCAAATTTCTAGTAAAGTCAACTAATTCGGGTTAAGAGTGTACATTCAAAAGCTTAGGGATCGGTAAGTTGATTTTTTATTTTACTTTTTCCAAAAATACTTTTATTCAGCAGAAATTCATTATATTGGTCAAAAGTGACTAAATTGTGTTTCAAATAAGATCAGTTCTTGTGAATTTATAATAATCTACAAAAAACAATCCTGAACAACAATTAAGCAGAACAAGCATTTTCAACTGTGATAACTATAAGAAATGAGCACAAAAGCAGATTTCTGAAAAATTCTATACTAATGGCTGCTCACAATTCAACTTTGCCATCATATTTATTAATTAGCCTATATTTTAAAAGATATTAAAATATAAAACTTATTTTAAATTGCAATAATATTTAATAATCAAACATATGCAGCATTGCTAAGCATAAAAGACTTCAAAAATATATTAAAAAAATCTTCTCAACCCCAAACTTTTGAACGGTAGTGTGCATAGTGTATTACATACAGTCCTGTGTGTATTACATTGTCAATTATCACATCAGGTCACATTAATTAGTTAATGAATATTGAGATAATATTCTAAGAGTTCGATTTGAATAGTGAAAGAGAGGTACTCACGTCTTCATTGGTGGTCTGATTGGAGCTCATCAGGTAGGTATGGAATCCTGACAGTCCCACGATGGACCAGATGGAGAAAAAGCACACCACCACTTCCAGAACAGTACAACCGTCAAGGAAAACAGAAATCTATACATGATGTACTACTACTTCCACTTATTATAAGAGCTGCCTGACGGCTTCAGAAAAAGGACTCGAGTATGCTAGAAAACAGCATCATTGCAGCACTGCAATCCAGACGCCAGAATCGCATCTTTAAAATGCTGAAAGTGCGCTCGACTACACCACACTTCTGGATATGTGCCCAGTTAAAGCTCTTTTCTTTGTCATTTGATGAATCACTGCTGCCAGAAAATTAATAGAAAATGTACACAAACTTTTAATAGATAAACATACGCTACCTGCCGGCTTTCCGCTAGTGCTAATAGTGTGCAGAAACAAACAGCGCTGATTTTAGTCAACAAGGCGCATCTGCGATGAGTTTAATTTATACTACCGTTCAAAAACTCGGGGTTAAGATTTTTTTAAATTGTATATTTAATAAATAATATAGTAAAACTATAATAATGTTTATAGCACTAAGAAAGCCAGTCCTGTTGGATCCTGCAGGAAAAGCACTGGTTATGTAACAAAGAAACACTGTCACAGAAACCTGAAAAACAGGTCTCAAATGAAAAAGCAGGCAGCATATTGAGCAAAGAATCACTGGAATAAGAAATTAAGCAGCTGCTGTCTTGCAGATGTTTGCAGGCACTCGAAATCCTAGAGTTTTATGGAATTCATGGATGCCACATTAGCAGCTATCGTTAATTAAGAAAACGTGCGAGCATTCCTTGTCTCTTTGTTTAAAAAGTGTACTTATTATGGAAATAGTATACTCTAAAATAATATACTTTAGTGTGAACTGAATGTAGTGTTTTTGGACACTGAATTGCATGTTATTTAAAATGATAAAAAATATACTTTTCATATCATACAACATTTGCAAATAGATTGACTTAAAAGTACTTTTTTGACTCAGTTTAAACTGGACTACATCTTCATGTAATTTCATATTTACTTCTGTCTTATGCTTAAAGTATACTGTTAAATGTACTTACAAGCATTTACGGTAAATTAAAATAAACTTTCAGCCATTTTAAAGTGGTTAAGCAAATAATAATAATAATAATAATAATCAGCAGGGATCCCAGACCAATACAATGAATGTGCCTCCTCTATTTTAAAACCCACGAGCCGCCACTGGTAATTTGATGAGCGCAAATTATAGTAAATCACGTTGCGTGTTTCATTTAAATACTCTCCTCCCATAAATTTTGCGTCTGAAAGGGAAACTCCTACAAATGCATATTCAGTAAGGTCAGGCGCAAAAATATTTGTCCACGCCTTATCAGCGCTAATTCTTCACTGCACGGCTTTAGTAAATCCTGACAGAACTATTTTAATGCCAAAAGACGGTTTGCGCTGACACAAGCTGTTAGTTAATCTGGCTCCAAGTGTACTTTAAAACATGAAAAAAATTAAGTCATTGTCATGAAAGTGTACTTTCTTTAAGTGGCATTTTATTTTATTAATATATTATCTGCAAGCACAGTTTTTAAATATTCTTAGTAGTTTTTTATATTCTTTTTAGATTTGAAGTACTCTACAATTGCACAATAAATGCAAATAGGCACACAACTTTTTTTCACAAGGGATGATATTTATTTTTCATCTAAGGCAATTTAATGTAATTTTGTGATCCAATCACTCAAACTCAAATCGCACATAATGTAGGTCAGAAATGTATATTGGATTATATATATATAATGTATATATAAATGGATTTGTAGTTTAATGCTAATGCATCCTGATGCATCTTGGACAAATCGCTGCTATTTTTGGAGCAAAAGTGCTGAGTGTTGGTGCTTTTTTATATTTTTAACATGCAGTAACACACTGATGTTGCAATTGCAGTCACATACTCAGAAACCCTTTCCTCAAGATGTATTCAGAAGTCAGAAAGAGCTTTATTGCCAAGTATGTTTGCACATACAAGGAATTAGTTTTAGTGTCACAAGCTTCCAGTAAACAGAGACAACAACAACAACACACAGATAGTAAAAATAAGATGTGAATAAAATACACATATAAGTATAAATAAACCACAAAAAAGAATAAATTGTATGTACAGGTGTGCTATAGATAAAATAGAATAGGGATAGAATAAAAAATAAGTTGTAGGGATGTACTAGGATGTAGGGTGATAAATAAGTATAAGGTTATTGCACATACTTTTATTGCACAATGGGAGAACATTTAACTGTTCATGAGGTAGATTGCCTGGGGAAAGAAACTGTTCTTGTGCCTGGCTGTCCTGGTATTCGGTGCTCTGTAGCGCCGACCAGATGGTAAAAGTTCAAAAGGGAGATGGCTTGGATGTAAGGGATCCAGAGTAATCCAGAGTACATCCTCAATCTGGATGTATACAGTTCTTGGAGGGTGGGCAGGGGAGCACCAATAATCCTTTCAGCAGTCCGAACCGTTCTCTGTAGTCTTCTGATGTCTGATTTTGTAGCTGAACCAAACCAGACAGTTATTGAAGTGCACAGGACAGCCTCAATGACAGCAGAGTAAAACTGTTTCAGCAGCTCCTGTGGCAGGTTGAATTTCCTCAGTTGGCGAAGGAAGTACAACCTCTACTGGGCCTTTTTTTTTTACAATGGAGTCGATGTGAGTGTCCCACTTCAGGTCCTGAGAGATGGTGGTTCCCAAGAACCTGAATGACTCCCACTGCAGCCACAGTGCTGTCCATGATGGTGAGTGGGAGGAGTGCAGGGGGGTTCCTCCTGAAGTCCACGATCATCTCCACTGTTTTGAGCGTGTTCAGCTCCAGGTTGTTGTGACTGCACCAGACAGCCAGCTCTTTAACCTCCTGTCTGTAAGCAGACTCGTCGCCGTCCTGGATGAGACCGATGACAGTAGTGTCGTCCGCAAACTTCAGGTGCTTGACAGAGGGGTCTTTAGAGGTGCAGTCGTTGGTGTAGAGGGAGAAGAGCAGTGGGGAGAGAACACAACCCTGAGGGGCGCCAGTGCTGATCGTGATAGTCCTGGATGTGAATTTAGCAATTCTCACTAGCTGTTGCCTGTCTGTCAGGAAGCTGGTGATCCATTGACGGATAGAGCTAGGGACAGAGAGCTGGGTTAGTTTGGTCTGGAGGAGTGTTGGGATGATGGTGTTGAAAGCAGAGCTAAAGTCCACAAACAGGATCCTCACATAAGTCCCTGTTTTGTCCAGATGTTGCAGGATGTAGTGCAGTCCCATGT